TAGTAGTAGTAGTTGTGATAGTACTGGTCTTCGTAGTCGTAGTCGTAGTAGTCGTAATAGTACGAGTAGTAAGAATTATACTAATAGTGATAATAAGAGCACTGGCATTACTTTGCACTGCTTGAGTATTACTGGTTCCCGTCCGGAGCTTGACGATGAAAATGCGTAATAGTAGTGCTAGTAGCAATACTCCTCCTCCTCCTCCTCCTCCTCCTCCTCCTCTCTCCTCCTCCTCTCTCCTCCTCTCTCCTCACCTCTCCTCCTCCACCTCCTCCTCTTTCTCCTGCTCGCCACTTTCGAGGCTTGCTGGGGCCTCCAGAGGAATGCTAGGACACGGCCGTGTGCAAGGGTGCCAGGATAACGCTTCCTGGCTAATTCGTTGAAGGGAGGGGGGGCTCTTAATTGCCGGATGAGGTATCAGCATAGAACTCATACCGAATCAGATCGAACTGAAACGGCCCGTCGTTACCCCGAGTTGTGGACCACGGGCCACCTCCAGCAACGCCCGCGAGCCCCCCCCCCTCCGCCTCCTCGCGCAGCGCGGGCCCACATGGGCCAGCAGCGGCTGGCCCGTCGCGTCACACGCCTCTGCGTCAAGCGCCACGACCAGCTCGCGCACGTTGGTGAAAAACACGGGGGCCTTTGCGTCGTCGCCGTCGTTTCATGTCTGCACCATGGGACGCCACGATGCCCCCGGCACTGTCCAAATTGGGGGATGATTGGGACCGGGTTTGGAACATCCTTTTGAACTGCATTGGGACCAAGGGTGGACCAAACTCGCCCTTTCACACGGCAGACGAAAAGAACGAGGAGGGGGAGGGGGAACCGAAGGGCGAGGAAGATCAGGAGGAAGGCCCGAACGCTGTGCAAATACGGCCTAAATGCACGAGAAGCTGGTTTCCAATGTTGCCGCACAAGGCTCCCCCATGAACAGACATCGAATCGTCGTCGTCGATGTTCGACTAATTTCGGCGACCCTCGCATGCATTCGAACATTTCCCCCTGTTTGGAAATTGTTTCGGCGGTTTTCGGAGGCTCCCGGAGGCTCCCGGAGGTTCCTCCGGTCGTCGTCGTCGCCAAAGGTCAATGATAGGGTATGTGATTGTGTGCCCTTTTCGGCCGCCAGGGTCTCACGACGAGGGGGATGGACCTCGACGTGGCTTACCAAGAGAAGACGGCAGGGATGGCTTCGACGCTTACTGCTCTGTTGTCACTTCAGAAGAACAAACTGTTGATCCCCTCGACTCGTCAGATTTGCCATCGCTCGGACGTCCATTCCCTGTGTATTTGTCGGTCTCGCAAGTGTTATTATGTTTTGCTCGATGCTCCAGTGTGCTCTTCGATGGTTCCCGCAGAAAAAAAAAACACGTCCGAGCAATGCCAAGAAGACGACTCTGTTTTGTCACACTCACAGGCGTGCCGCCCGACGATGACAACATGTTCTCTTGTCAAGGGAAGTATTCCTGGCCAAACTGTGCTGTTGCGCCGCCAGACGACAACAAAAGTGGTTCCCGCCTCAGACTTGCTCCGCGTTCGCGAAGGAATCACGATGTCGCTAGAAGCTTATGTGGAATCTACTGGAGAAGCGAGCTGTCGCTTCATAATCCCTCGCCATGTGCTGAAATAGCGCGTGCTCGCCTATAGGGAACCGCGCTGACGCCTGGCACTGCTGTCCAATGCATTACCGAGTCACGCTCTCGCCTGGGACATCCTCACACGTTGCTAAAAAGATGCGCTCTCGCTTGGGACTTCGTCGAACGCCTTCGCTGGGGACCTCCTCTTGGGCATCTTGCAATCCCTCTCCGCACGACCCGCCCGTTCGGGTAAGACTGCCCGACCGGCCTGTCAGGGCCCGCCCGCCCGACCCGCACCTCAGGGACCGCCCGCCCGACCTGCGGTGCTTTTTTTCCCCCGAAGGACAGGCCTGCAGGCCTGCAAATCTGTGCCAGGGGATCGTTCCAAAAACGCTGGAAATGATGATCGCGCTGGAAAGCGAACGAGGCGCGAAACCGACCGCTGGGTGCATCAAGGCGGCACACAGCACTGGCACACGACACAATCAGGATTTTTTTTCTGGGAGCCAGAGCGGCAGAGCAGGCAAGCCGGCCAAAGCCGCAAGTTCAGAGCGCCTAGACTCACAGCTCCAAGTAGTCTGCGCGAGCGCCTAGACTCACAGCTCACAGCGCCTAGACTCACAGCTCCCAGCGCGAGAATCCGTCTGCGGCGCATCGAGGCAGCACCGCAATATGTTGCTGGTGCGCTGCGCAAACGTCGCGCTTCCGCGCCCAACGGCGCAGCTGCCACTGCGCACGCGTGGCGAAGAGTGCTGATGAACGTATCGCTTCTTTCTTCGAGCACCAGGGGAGAAAGGACAAAACACAACGGGGGGATGACGACGAGTAAGTCATTGGATGTCTTTGGACGGCCTTACGGATAGCTTGAGTGTGCGGGTTCGTGGTATCGACATCTGCGAAGCGGAGGGCTGGCGACCGTGAGCTCCGGATAGCTTTCCAATCGTATGCTGTTGCTTGCTCCGCCCAATTCAGCCAGGGACGGCCTACTCTTCTGCGTGTCCACTGCCTGGGCTGCAGTGCAACAGGATCAAGGTGATTGGATTCAGCTCTAACGATGGCTCGGTAGAGTCGCAGTTTGTTCCTGGCGTGCCGTGCGCTGAATTTGACGATGGGTTTTTGTTCTCGTCCTCCCTGTCGGAACGCGTCGTCGGCCACTTCGTAAAATCGTTCCTTCGTATTGGCTCGATTGACATATATTGTTTGGCGTTGCATGCTTGTTCGGAGTCCTTTGAGCTGGAAGGCGTCGAGTCGAACCAATGCTCCCTGAGTGAGCTGGGCTGATGGGAGGCCGTACAGGAGCTTTGATTTGAGGACTGCGTCTTCCACTTGCAGTGTGAATTTGGCGGGGCAACTGCTGTGTCTCCAGAGCAAGTCCCATTCCCTTGAGCGTTGCCATGCGTGCCCAAATCATCCCTTCGACCTCCCGTGTGCTGCCGAGTTGTCTCGTTCAGACAGTACCCCAACTATTTTAGCTCGTCCATAATGTAAGCCCTCGTGCCATCAGCAAAATGTGTGCTGGAATGGGCTGCGACAGCCTCGCACTTACCCTTGTCCAGCTTCATTCCAGAATCGGGTTCCCTGGAGTTCGATTGCTGCCAAAATCCTGTTCAGTGCCCTGGTGCCCTTCGAGACGACACTCGCGTCGCCTGCGTAACCAAGGACCTCTCTGGGAGCAGGCAGACACAGCAGACACGCCCGGCCTGCGCCTAGGGGGCCCGCCCGCCCAGCCCCGGCATGCCAGTTGTTGAAGTTGCGATTCTGAAAGGCGCAAGCCAGGGACAGGACACGACCGCAGCCCGTAGGGAGGTGGCGCGGGGCCTCCTCCCCAGCAGTACGCTGGGCTGGAACACGGAGCGGCGTAGCCTGAAACATATTCTGGTTCTGGGTGCGGCACAGGGTCAAACCCTGCCCCTGCCGATCATGGCACAGGAGCCCAGCTCGGGGAGGGGGGCCAGGGACCGGACCCTCTGGCGAGCAGATGCATCATCAGTGACACGCCAGCTGGGCGCAACACTCTCATCCACCACGCAAGTGTCACGCCTGCTCGCCTTCCTCCCTCCTCGGGGCGCACTGGCAGCCAGCCCACACCCGGGTTGGTCGGGGCCCTGCCGCGAAGCGCCCGGCCGGCCGCGAGGCAGCTCCCGGACCAGGACCAGCGCAGGGCAGACAGGGGCCATCCGCCCCCACGTGGCTCCCAAGCCCCGGGTTAACCAGAGGGGATTGGCTGATCCCGGCCAGCGCTGACTCCATGCGCGCCGCAGGGACGACAGGGCAGGATAGCACAGGGTGTGGCCTGCGAAAGATAGACTCAGCTCACTGGTTCTCCTGGCGCCTCCTGGCGCCAGGGGGCGCCCATGGATCGAGGACTGGTCCCGGCGGCGGCGCCGAGGCCAGCTGCGCGCAGCAGATTTCGCCCCCCCCCCCCCCCGCATTTCCCTATCTTGTCCTTTCGACTGGTTCGAGTTGCATCAACATCAGCCTCTCTTCCTCGTCACCACCACTCCTCCTCCTCCTCCTCCTCCTCCTCTCCTCCTCCCTCCCTCCCTCCCTCCCTCCCTCCCTCCCTCCCTCCCTCCCTCCCTCCCTCCCTCCCTCCCTCCCTCCCTCCCTCCCTCCCTCCCTCGGGGTTGCGGCTTCGGGGTTGCGGCTCCTGTGCGGGGCCTGCGGGCCAGCAGCCAGCCCTGCCGCCGGTAACGGGGCGCCCCCCTCGCACGCTCTGCCCCCAGCGGGTCGGGGGGGTGACGCCCAGGGCTGGGGCGCCCCGCCAGCAACCGCCGCTCCGAAGCCAAGGGCCTGCGACCCGCTCTTCCCGGAGTTCGGGCGCGTCCAGGGCCCGCCGGCTGCAGAGGCAGACAAGCACAACGTGGACAGGTGGGTACGGAGGCTCCCAGACGGGAGCCTCCCGACGGACCGGATCGTGCTGTACTGGGCCTACACTCACCCGGTGAGCGGCCCCCTCATGGCCACTGGCAAGTGGTGCCACGTCCCCAAGCGGGATCCCGTGCCGAAGGGCGTGCTCCTGCAGTTCGGGCACAAGAAGGGAGCAGCCCATGTCTGGCTCCGCAAAGGAGGCCACGTGCACGTGTCTGCCAGCAAGAAGAACGGCGTCCAGGAGGCGATCTTGGCCAAGCTCGAGGCCTGGACCGAGCCCTGGAACAATGGCACCCCGCCAGCCCCCCAGCGGATTGGCGGCCCGCAGGCGCTCCCGCCTCTGCCGCCCCTGCCGCCAGCAGCATGGTCGCCGCCCCCGGCGTCTGATTGACCAGGCAGCCTAGCCTCGCGGTAAGACTTCTCGGGGGAGCCTCTACCCCTTGCGCTCTGTTTTCTCCCCCGCCCACCTCCCTCTTCCACACTCTAGGTAGGGCCCCCGTGCGCCCGGGGAGCGGCAGGCAGATGCTGTGCAGCATCTGTAAAGGAGCCGAGTCAGAACCCTTTTGTTCAAGTCCGCACAGGTAGTTTTGATGTTTCCTGCGTCTCCTCCTCCTCCTCCTCCTCCGATTCCTCCTCCTCCCCCCATCCAGCCTTTTGCCCAGCAGGCAGTGCATTTCCTGTGAGGATTGTGTGACGGACAGCGCATCAGTTGCAAAACAGAGCATAGGTAGAAAAAAGGGGGTGGAGGGGGTGGGTGGTGGGGGGGTTCTGTCTCTCCGCGCCGTCGGCCTCAGGAGGCCGTTTTTCGGGCCCCGGGGGGTCGCCTCGTCCCCTCTCCCTCCCGTCCTCCCGCTCCGCAGGGCCGGGCCGGGCGGGTCGGGTCTGCCGGGGCCAGGCCGCCCTCCCCTCCTCCTCCTCCTCCTCGGTCCCTTCCCTGCCTTCGCTCTTCCCTCCCTGTCGTCGTGCCGCTGCCGCCGCTTCCGCAGCCGTCGGCCGCCGCGTGTCGTCGTCGTCGTCGTCGTCGTCGTCGGTCGTCGTCGTCGTCGTCGTCGTCGTCGTCGTCGTCGTCGGCGTCGGCGTCGTCGTCGTCGTCGTCGTCGTCGGGGTCGCCGCCGCTGCCGCTGGTGGCCTCCGCGTGGCCTCGTGCCGCCGCGTGGGGGAGAGCTGGCAAGCTGGCCCAGGAGCGTGCTCCTTGGGAGAGTGCGAAGCCCAGCCCTCGGAGGCATGCCGGCCGCGGCAGCCCCTCCGAGGCCAGTTGGGGTGCCCTCTCCCCCCGTCGTCGTCGTCGTCGTCGTCGTCGTCGTCGTCGTCGTCGTCGTCGTCGTCGTCGTCGTCGTCGTCGTCGTCGTCGTCGTCGTCGTCGTCGGCGTCGTCGTCGTCGTCGTCGTCGTCGTCGTCGTCGTCGTCGTCGTCGTCGTCGTCGTCGTCGTCGTCGTCGTCGTCGTCGGTCGCCGCTGCCGTCGCAGGGGGCTGCCGCGTTCCCTCGTGCCGCCGTGTGAGGGAGAGCTGGCAAGCAGGCCCTGGAGCGCGCATCGGGGCGCCGAGGCCGCTGCCATTGGCCGCCGGGAGTCCTCGAGTCGTCGTGGGGGCAGGCCGTTGGAGGTCCTGGAGGTCCTTTCGGGCCTTCGGAGGCCCTGGGTGTTCCGTCGGGGGTCCTGATCGCGTCCCCGTTCCTCGGCTCTTGGGGTATCCCTTGTCGCCCTGTCCGGTGGCAGCTCTGAAAACTTGTGCCTTCGGTCCTGGGGGTCTCTGCCCATCCCCTTTCCCGCCTCCCTCCTTGCCCTCGTGTGCTGGCTTCTCTTCCTCCCTCCTCCCCGGCTCTAGTGAGAGGAGTGGCCAGGGGCTACATCTCAGCGTCCCTGGGGCAGCCATGGACAGCCTGCTGGGTGCTATCTGGGACGCTTTCCCGCGTGAAAGGGGCTTCGGGCCTCAAGGAGACCAGGCGGCGGACGCTCTACTGGCTTGCGCTCCACGTGGAGAGGGAGGTGGATCGCTTCTGGGCATCCGCAGGCAACAATTACCTCCCCCCTCCCGCCCTCCCTCCCCTCTGCCCGGGGCACTGAGGGGGTTGTTTCCTGGTCCGCTGCTCGTTTTTGGGGTCTCGTCGTGGTCACGGCAGGATTCGCCTGGAAATTCTGGTCTGGTGTTGGAAGCTTCGGCTTCGGCATCTTTCGCCCCCCAGTCTCCTGGCAGGCGGGTCGGGTCGGGCTGGATCCTCCCCTCCCTGGGGTGGCTTCCTCTCCCTCCTCCTGTCACCGTCCCGTACCTGCGGGGTACGTCGACCAGGCAGCGTGGGGGGTTCGGACGAGCCCCAGGCAGGTGCTCCCTGCCTGGCCCCCCCCCCACATATGGCGGGGAGTCTCTGAGTTGCCTCTTCTGCTTCGCCCTGGCCGGGGTTTCGGGCGGAGGTCCTTGTTGGAACTGTGGGAATTTTCAAAGGCTTGCACGGTTTTCCAGGGTCGGTTCTGTGCGCCGCCCTCTCGACTCCGCGCAGGTCTTGGAAAGTGCACAGCTCTTACCAACCCTCCCCTCGACCCCTTCAGAGCTGGCGATCTGTCTTCCAGAGCCGTCGCAGCAAGGTCGCTTCCGAACCCTCCCCGGGTCGTGGCCCCTTGCTAAAAGGAAGTCTCGTCCGAAGCTTCCGCCGCCAGCTCAAAGGGAGCACACCATCCATCCATCCATCCTCCCCCCCTCCCTCCCTCCCTCCCTCCCTCCCTCCCTCCCTCTTCCTCCTCCTCCTCCTCAGAACCCACGGAGCCCGCCACTGTCTCAAAACATTAAGCACAGCTCCGACGAGGTAACTCGTGCCAACTGACCTGGGATTCCGGGAAGGCTCTCTACGAAACCGACGCAGTGGGTTCAAAGGCCAGTTGCTCACAATGCAATGATGGCACTGGCCTGGCTGGCGACCCTTGCGCTCCTCCTCTACTCCTCCTCTTCCTCCTCCTCCCTCTCCTCCCCCTTCTCCTCCTCCTCCTCCTACTACTACTCCTCCTCCTCCTCCTCCTCCTAATCCTCCTCCTCCTCCTCCTCCTCCGCCTCCTCCTCCTCCCGAACCTGTCCCTGACGAGCCTCTGGGGCTGCTGGCATGGCAACCGTCGGTGGCGCCCCCATCTCGCGTATGGCCTCTGGAGGCCCGTCCCGCGCGGGCGGGGCCCGCGCGGGCTGGAGCCGCCGAACGGCGGAGGGGTGGGGTCCCTGGGCCGGGGGCGGCCGCATCGAGGGGGAGGCAGAACATCGGGGGAGGAGTCGGGGCCTCGAGGGGAGAGGGAGAGAACGCCTCCTCCTCGTCCTCGTCCTCGTCCTCGTCCTCGTCCTCCTCCTCCTCCTCCTCCTCCTCCTCCTCCTCCTCCTCCTCCCTCGAGGAGGACGCCTCGAGGAGGGGGCGGCCTCGAGGACGCGGGGGGCCTGCGTGCCAGAAGCAGCCAGGCAGCGCGAGCGTCCGAGGGCCCGGATTTGCACGCCGCGGTGAGGCCGAAGCCAATGGCCGCGAGGCCGCCGACCACCCAGCGGCGGGAAAGGCCAGAGGAGGAGGAGGAAAAAGAGGATGACGCGGGGGAGGAGGAGGAGGAGGAGGAGGAGGAGGAGGAGGAGGAGGAGGAGGAGGAGGAGGAGGAGGAGGAGGAGGAGGAGGAAGAGGAGGAGGAGGAGGAGGAGGGGGAGGAGGAGGAGAAGGAGGAGGAGGAGGAGGAAGAGGAGGAGGAAGCGATGGGGCGAGCGAGGAGGACGAGGAGAAGAGGAAGGAGTAGGAGGAGGACGAGGAGGAGGAGGAGGAGGAGGAAGAGGAGGAGGAGGAGAACGAGGAGGAGAACGAGGAGGAGGAGAAGGAGGAGGAGGAGGAAGAGGAGGTACGCAGAAAAGAGAGAAGGGAACTAACCAGGGGGCCTCAAAGGCCAGGCCCATGCAGCAGAGGACTGACAACTCGCGGGCCCAGAGGGCGTACGCGAACGCGGCCACGGTCATCAAGTGGTGGGCGGTGTAGGCGTACAGCATCTTCCGGCACATGAGCTCTCGCGACTGCTCCGAGGGACTGAAGCGATCCTCGCCGACGGGCCACCGCACGAGGTGCCTCCAGGAGGACCAGTCCTCCACCGTGGCCAGGAGCCAGTGCGCCAGCGCGGCCGAGAAGAGGAGGGTCTCGCTGTCGCCGCACCTTGGAGGTGAAGCAAAAACCGATAGCGCTACAGCCGGCCCGTATCGTAAGGATGCGCAACAAGGGTGCAAGGGCCTTGGACGCCCATTTCGAAGCATTTGGAGCGGGGCGCGGCCAACGAACGTAGCCAAGGATGGATCGCGGAGGCAAGGATGCAAGGGTACCCTTGGGAAGGTTGCCCATCCTTGCTACGCAAGTTCACTGTGATTCCCAAGACCTCTCCGGGGTGTGCTTTGACCAGAATTTCGAGGAGAATTCAGCAGCCGGCGGGGACGAGGTAAAACAGGGCTACGATCGGGATAAATCGCTCCAGAGCGTTCCGGAGCGCTCTCAGAGCGTTCTGGAACGCTCTGGAGCGGCCGCGGCGCCCAATACATCCTCCCAACCCGCCGATTCTGAGAGATTTCGAGTTATCCCGATCCGATTTTGTCCCGATCTTCGCGTCGTTTTATGAGGACTCTCCAAGACGAGCAGCGGCCTCGGTATCCTTTCCTCCCCCGCGCGCCACGTGAGCAGCAGCTGGCGGACCACGTCCGGGCTGCGGCCTCGCTCCAGGAGCACGAAGGCCGCCCACGGGTAGCCGCAGTGGGCGTAGAGCAGCCAGAAGCCGGCCACCGATGCTCGGCAGGGCTTCAAATCCGCCGACCCTGTCGGTGTGTGAGAGGGGCTTCCTGGTCCGTTCCTCGCCGCCCCCCCTTCTTCCTTCCCCCTTTTTTCTTTTTGGGCCGTACCCTCCTGCCGTCATGCCGTTGTCGATTCGAAGGGAAGCCCCTTCCCTTTGATCCCTTCCCCAGGGGGGGGGGGTCCCGCCAGGGGTGGGGGAGGGTGGGGGGGTGGGTGGGGGGGCAGATTCGTTTTTCCTCGGGCGGCCTCGAAACCTCGAAAACACTCCAAATGAGGTCCGAATGCCCAAGATGGCCCCCGAGACGGCCCAAGAGTGCCCCGAGTCGCCCAAAGATCGGCCGAAGACGCCCAAGATAGCCCCAAGACCGTCCAAGAAGCCTCCAAGACGTCCCAGGCCCCCTCCAAGAGCACCCCCAAGAAGGGCCCAAGAGGCCACACTCATTACTTTTCCATCGGAAACTTACATTTCTAGCATATACGACGTTTCGGCCTTCACGGCGTCACAGACAGCTTCGTCTTCAGGGTCGGCGGCACCGGCCGTAAGGCCTTCGCAATAAAGAAAGGAAGACACGACAGATAACCCCATACACGGGAGCCTTTCGAGGCTCTCCGCGCGGCTTTCTCGGATCGGCGCTGGACCCCATCGCCGCGCGCGAAGCGCGCCCGGGGCGGCGGCGGACGAACCGCCAGGGGGGGCCCCAGCGCCGATCCGAGAAAATCCGCGCCGACCTCCGACAGTTTACAGTAGGGGCCCGACCACAAGAAACCCAACCCTGAAACCTCAGGACGTCCATGGATTTTTGGTGGAGGTGGCGTCGCCTCCCCTTGCCTCCCGAGAGGTGGGTGCGCCGAGACCGCCTAGGCAACAACAAGGGCAGTGTTGCAACGAGAAGAACCAACATGCAAAACAAAAGAACAAGGTATCCTGGAATGCAGGAGACTACCATGTTGCTAAAGGTCTGGGACTGCTGAAGGACATGTTTGAATACACATCGACCAAAGCACACACCCACAGCCACAGCCACAGCCACAGCCACAGCCACAGCCACAGCCACAGCCACACCCACCCATCCACCCACCCACCCACCCACCCACCCCAACAACAACAACCACAACCACAACAACAACAACAACAACAACAACAACAACAACAACAGCAACAACAACAACAGCAGCAACAACAACAACAGCAACAACAACGATCACAACAACCACAACACCCACAACCACAACAGCACCACCACCACCACCAACAACAACATCATCATCAACAACAACAACAACACCAACACCAACACCAACACCAACACCAACACCAACAACACCAACACCAACAACACCAACACCACCACCACCACCACCACCACCAACAACAACAACAACAACAACAACAACACGAATTATCACCACGAGCGCGGAGAGAACCTGACGTTCTCCCGTCGCAGCGCGGCAGGGGCCCTCCGCGCGGGCGCTCCAGCCGTCGGGGAACGCGCGGCGAACAGGTGTGCCTGGCGGCGGGAGAGGAGAGGCGCGCGGGAGGAGAGGCGGCCGAAGAGGACCCCGGGGGGGGAGGGGGAGGGCGGGGAGAACGACCGGGGGGGGGAGGAGGACGACCCGGGGGGGGGGGGAGATGACTGACCATGGGGGGGGGGGAGGAGGGGGCGACTTGGGGGGGAGGAGGACGACCGGGAGAACGACAGGGAGGAGGAGGACCGGGGGGGAGGAGGACCGGGGAGGAGAAGAACGGGGAGGGAGGAGGAGGGCAGAGGAGGAGGGCCGCAGGGGACCGGGGAGGAGGAGAGAAGCGGGGAGGGGCAAAAGGATATGAGGGCGCCAGGATCAGGTACGAGCTTGGGTGGTCGGACCCCGAAAAGGGGGGCTCTCCTTCGAGCGGGCCCCCCCCGGTCCGACAACACACGGGATTCCACACCGAGAATCGAGGGGCCGCAAGGACAAAGGACATCGCCACTTCCTCGAGGAAGCGCAACTTTGTCGAGGAGTTCGGGGGGCACGCAACGACAGCGAACATCCAAACATATATATATATATATATATATATATCCTCGAACTTCGATCTTCGAACTTGCATCTTCAGAGAAACGGGTGACCCCCTAGTGGTGGCCCCCCTCGGTACTGCCCGAACCACCCTCCCGAGACATGCGATGTCATGGATTGTTCACTACGGGGTCCCAGAACGTTCGGATACTGCCCCCAGGGCAATCGGTTTTGCATCCCGAGTCGTTGTTCGACGGTGCCGGGGCCCCGCGAGAGCCCCCCAAGGGCCAAACACTGTCCCAAAACATGCTTCGCCGCGGCACGGCAGATGCAATCCTCACGGGCTCTCGAGTTGTCGGGGGCGCTCGACAAACGAACTGTCTGGCAGCATGGGCGTGGCGCGCGCGGAGGAGAAGCGGCCGCTAATGACAGGCACTGCCAAAAACATCCCGCCTTGATTTGTCGCGACGCGAGCATGCCCAGGTACAGGAAAGCTGGAAAAAGCGGGAATTGGAAAGTCACTGAAAGTGGAAGTGGCCAGGACTGGAAAAACTGACAGTGGGTGGAGTGAGCCCGAAACTGTAGGGATGCGGTCGCCAGGGCAGGGAAAAATGAAAGGAACCTGGCCAGGGCTGGAAAGAGTGGGAGGGCCAGATCCGCTCACGTCTGCCAGCTTCCGTGCATCTTTCCTCCGAAAGACGGGGGGGGGGGGGGGGGGCCGAGGCCGCCCTGGGCTGCCCCTGGAGGCCCTGCGGAGGGCAGCCCAGGCCCTGGCCATCGCTCGGACGTCCATTCCCTGTGTTTTTGTTGGTTTCGTGTGTGGTTTTTTTTCACCGAATGATCAAGGATGCACCTCGACGGTCCTCGCCGAATGAAAAATGCACACGTCCGAGCGATGCCAAGGCCCCATGGAGGCCCTGCGGAGGGCCTAGGGCAGCCCAGGGCCGCGCCTCGAAAAGGCGACCTGCGCGGCGCCCCCGAGCCCTGCCGAGGATGCCACCGCGTAGTAGACCTGCGAGCGGAGGAGGCGGCCGAGGTACACGCGCTCGGCGGCGGCGCCCGCGCGGGAGGGGCGCGACGGGGGCGCCCGTCTGAGATGAAGGGGCCCAGGGACACACAAATAAATACACACAAATAACAGGATTCCCAATATTTTCCCATATTTGTTGGGTTCCTGTCTCCCCCCACACTGCCATATTTTCCCATATTTTCTGGGGAATCGACGATAAATTGTGTCTGTGTGATTTTTCCCCTCCTGACCTGACCTTCCCGAGAGCTATTCTTCAACACTGGAGGCCCAAACATTGTTTAACAGCACCTGAACGAAACATCCTAAAAGCAAGACTTAGATAATGGCTTTGGGATAGGTTTTTGGATCTCGTGCCATATGTAGCCCTCCTGGACGGTCATGGTGAGGGACCTCCCGGACCCCACTGCGAAGACCCCTGCCTGCGAAGAAGCCCCCGCCGCCTGCTTGGAACCCTGCGCGAGATCCGACGCTGCGAAACACCCGCAGCATCGCGGAAGAACGCGACCGGAGGCCCATGGACCCCCGCCTTCCCGCGGCACCTTTTCCGAGCGGGCTCGGGCGGTGAGGTCAGCGGCGCGCACCAAGGCTTCCTATAGAGGGTGGCTTCCTGTAGAGGGTGGCTTCCTATAGAGGGGGGAAGGCTTCCTATATAGGGGCACACGTTGGGGGAGGGGGGAAGGCTTCCTTATGGAGGGTGGCTGCTGCTGGGCAGGCGCGGGCCCCTGCATCCACAGGTAGGAGGCCCGCGCCCTCTGAGAGGCAGGGGTGCCTCTGAGAGGCCCTCCCTCAAGTCGGGCCCGTCCTCCTACAGGGGGATCGTGGACGAAACTCAAGACATGCTCCAAACATGCGCCAGAAAGGTCAAACACATCGCTTCAAGAAGTAACTACTCCCCCTGTTATTTGTTGACCATCTTTGGATATTCCTCCTGTAGAGGGACAGGCCCGACTTAAGCCTTCCCCCCTCCCCCCAGTACCCCCTGCTGCGCGCGGCCGGAGGGGCCCCATGGGCCCCACGCAGGGCGGAACCGCCCGGCGCGAAGACCTCCGACCCCCGCATGGCACCTCCCCAGACCCCCGACGACCTGCCTCCTGCATCCAGGTCGACCCCAGGGAGAGTCTCGACAACCCTCCACGGGACCGGCTCCTCGTCCCGAGCCGTTTTCTGCTGCCCGGCCCCGAGGCCCGGGCGAGCCTCCTGCAGACCCCCGACGCCCTGCCTCCTGCATCGAGGTCGACCCCTGCAGGAGAGTCTCGACCCCCTCCACGGGACACGGGACCGCCTCCTCGTCCCGAGCCGCGTTTTGCTGCCGGGCCCCGAGGCCCGGGCGAGAACCGACCCCCGGAGGCCGAGACGGGCGACGAAACACTTCCGCCGTGACTTTTTGTTCACGCCTCGACGGGGGGTTGGGCCCCGGGCCGGAGGAGAAGGAGGAGGAGGAGGAGGAGGAGGAGGAGGAGAAGGAGAAGGAGGAGGAGGAGGAGGAGGAGGAGGGAGAGGAGGAGGAGGAGGAGGAGGAGGAGGAGGAGGAGGAGGAGGAGGAGGAGGAGGAGGAGGCAGAGGCCGCGCCCCTCGGGCCGCCGCTCGCCCATGCACGCGCCGAGGAGGGCGGGCCCCGGGCCGGCGGGGGCCCTCCGTGGGGCCCGGCGCTCTGGGAGCTGCCGCGGGGGGCCAGGTGTCCGCGCGCGCGGGCCGCCCGTGCCACGGGGGGTCGGGACGGGCCAGATCCGCACACGCGGGCCACAGCCGCACACGCAGGCCGGTGCTGGGGTTGGGCCGGGCGTGTCCCCCCACCTTGCCGTCGCTCGGAGGTCCATGTCCCGTGCATGTTTCGGTTTCGTGCGTGTTTTTTTTGGCTCGATGGTCCAGGATGGTCCTCGATGGTTCTCGTCGAGAAAGGATGCACACGTCCGAGCGATGCCAGGCCACAGGCGGATTCTGGAGGGACAAAGGAATAGAGTTCACATTCTTTAGAAAGAAAAGCAAACACACAAAACAAAAATCGTCCCCAGACTATTTGTTGACTATCTTTGGATCTTCCTCCTGTCTCCTGTGGAGGGGGCCTGCCCGACTTGGTGCTGGGGCCACCCGTGTGGGCCCGCCTCCAGTGGGGGCTCATGCCAAGACACGCCCTGCTCGCCTCCAGGGCGCCCTGGGTTTCTTCGGTTCCGGTGGTTTTGCTGTGGAAGGCGTGACGTTCCCACACCGAAACCTCCATGGACGTCCTGGGGTCTCAGGGTTGGGTTTCTCGTGGAAGGCTTCTTGTGGACTGTCCTCCACTGTGTGCGGTGCACCCCCGAGTGCCCCTCTCCTGTTCTGAGCGGCTGGAATTTTTTCCTTCGTGGAAAGGGTGTCGGAGGCTCGTCGGGGGCGAGACATCGCCTGCGACCACAGGTCCCTCCGGCGAAGGGTCTCTCCCCAGACCCCCGACGCCGCGCACTTTTTCACGACGTCGCCGCTGCAGAGGCCTGAACCCCTTCCCCGGGTGGTTTTTCATCCCGAGTCGTTCCTGGACGGTCCCGAGGCTCGCCATCGCTTGGACGTCCATTCCCCGTGCATTGTTCGATCTCGCGCGTGTAATTTTCGCAACATGATCAAAGATGCTCCTCGATGGTCCTCGCCGAGACAAAAATGCACACGTCCGAGCGATGCCAAGGAGGCCCAGGAAGGCCCCCACTGAAGCCGAGGATAACGAGAAGCCTCCTCCCGCGGCGTGACTTCTCCGCGGCGCGAGGCGGTCTGGGTCTCTCCCGCGAGCAGGCACGCCCCCCCCCCCTGCGTGCGCGCCGCCGGCGCTTGTCCGGCGCCCAGGCGGCGTAGCAGCGCCGCGCCGCGCAGGCGGTGCCGGGCGGGCAGCAGGCCTGCGCCAGCCACAGCGCCGCGGGGGCGGCGCAGCAGTGCAGGGCCCCCCAGAGGAGCAGCCATCCTGGATGGGGGGGCCGACTGTCCACCACCACTACAGGAGGCAGGAGAGAGAGGAGGAGGAGGAGGAGGAGGAGGAGGAGGAGGAGGAGGAGGAGGAGGAGGAGGAGGAGGAGGAGGACGAGGAGAAGGAGGAGAAGGAGGAGAAGGAAGAGGAGGAGGAGGAGGAGCTCCCCAGGCTCCCTTGCACTCCAGTCCTACCTATGGTGGTGGTGGTGGTGGCGGTGGAAAAGTGGCCCATCACGGATAGGGGGGAGGCTCTATCTGAGCAGCCCAGATGCGCATCACGTGAAAGGGTAACGTGCCGACACGGAGCTCAACACGCAGACGGAAGACGTAGGTCTGGCGCGATTCGTTTGCCAGCACGTGGGAAAAACGTGCCGAGCCAACACGTAGCGTGTTAACACTGACGTGTGAACACGGTACATGTTGCGTTTCAACACGGGCGTCTCAGGGCAGCTGAAAGGTAATGTCTTCTTCGCGACAAAGCCCCTGACCGACCCTGCGCCACCCCCTCCTTCCCCCCCTCGGTCACGTCACGATTCGCGCTGGAGCCATATGGGAATTAGCCACTCTTGGGCATTCACACCTGGCGCCCGGTCACGCCCGCTATCGCAAGAGGATGCAACAACGGTCTTTTATGATGAAAGAACGACGCACGTACACGCAAACATTTAGGGAGAAGGAATGGGGGAGGACAAGGAGATGAAGGCACAACAGCTATTTGTGCAGACTGTCGGACCCCAAGGACGGTTCCTGTTAGAGCGGGGCCCTCCATCGGACAACACACACCCAGAGGCCCACCATAATCCCTCCCGACAGAAATCTGTGGGTTGCATAAGTATGAGTGCTAGATCTCAGCTCATGGTGATAGGAAATGCAGGCCTCGGAAGAGATTAGCGAACACTCGTGTCGAACGCATCTGTCAATGCCCCCTCCCCCCGTTTATGTTGGCGGCGGGTCTGATGACTTGCACTTTGACCGCGGTCTTCCCCGCGCGTGCCCACTGTAAATTTCAGGCAAGGGGGAGTGTACATTGATTGTTTCCCTCTACCGTAGCTCTTGGGAACTCTTCGTCAGATCGACTGGGGGATCATGGGCCCGACTCGTCGAGATCTTTTCGCAGCCTAGACGCCCCGAAGGCCCGGACACCTGTCCTAGAGCTGGCCTTCCTCCAAGCAGCAAATTGCAGAACATCGTTTCTTTCTCGTGGACCCTATCTCCTTCCTCGAGAACGGCAACGCAACGCTGAGCGAGGACGCCTGTTACACAACAGTGCAAGTGGACAACAACATCGCCTGGTCGACGGCGACCGCCGCAGTTCTGGCAACCTCGCACCCCCGCTCCAGGTCCGCCGTCGTCAGACCAACGCCGCGCTTCCACATCAGCCTTCTCCTGGTGCACAACGCCTTCGCGGCAGGAGACGCGTCCAGGCCGATCCCGCTGCAGTCCTCGGGCACATCCTCGATCACGCGAGTAGCTGCTGCCTCCCAGATCTGGGGCGGGGGCGGCCTCGCTCAAGCCAAACCAGAGGCTGTGCCCCATGAGCGCGGAGCTGGCCGACAGATCAAACGCGGCCAGAGCCGTCCCAGGGCAGAGCCAACGCGGCGGAGAGTTGGCTGCAGTATACCGATTGCCAACGTGATCGGACCTCACGTCAACGATCGCCGTTCTCACGTCGTCGATCCGCTGCCGCGCGGGGTCAATTTCGCCAAAACGACCTGTGGTAAGGAACCGAAGCGCCGTCTCGGCATGGCATCAGCAACTTCTGTACTGCGAACTGTTGCAGCCAGCTTCGTCGCCAGCCAATGCCCGCAACAATTTCGACCGGGATTCCTTCAGTCTGTACCGATGCTTTCCACGGGACCTGCACTTCGGCAGCGAGCACGGCGACCTCCATGCGGTGAGAAGCAGGCCCTCCCCCCTTCAGAATCCGTGGCAATCATCAAGAGACACTCTTTGATGCCGTTCGGCCGGCTGCCGCTTTGCAGGCCAGCTTCGAGCGCCCGTCCGCCGCACCGTTCGCCCCACCGTCCGCCCGTATGTCTCGTCCCGCCGGATATGGCCTCCCGCCTGCGCGGTCGCCGCTTTTTGTTTGCGTCTTGTCCCCGCTCTCCCTCCCCGTCGCCGCGCAGCACACGGTGCCGGGAACCGGCGGCAATAAACAGCGGTCCTGGGCCAAGGATGCGCGTGGGCACTCTCGAGCATGGCGCCACTGGCACGGACGAGATGCCGAAAACACTCCGCGACTTCCCGCGGGGCTCGTCGCGCAGCTCAGTGTACTGTGTGAAGGCGACGAAAGATGAAGTCTAGAGCGGCCTGAGATCGCTG